ATAATGTGATGTGAAATTAAGTATATGAGAATTGTGAATGTAATTGGTATGATCATGCATAAAGTCTATGTGACATGCATTATGTGCATTATGTGCATTATGTGCATTATGTGCATTATGTATTTTTGTGATGGGTATGACATGGAATACGCTATTAGGAAGGTCCCCTTATGTAAAGGCTTAAAGATCAATCCTTAGGGATAGTTTGGTTTGGGAAACCCTAATCTTGCCCATTGTGTGCATGGGGTGGATGTTGTGCGACTTAGCTATCTTGACGAGGCCTTAGTTATATATGCTTCTAGTGCAGAGTGTTCTGATGGCTTGACTCATCTGTACTCTTAGACTACTCAATCTTCAGGTAAGGATAAAGTGATTTTACTAGTGCCACATGCATATAGTTTAGGAGAGTCATGTCTTTGCATGAACATAACATGCCCTTGTGTTTGAACTGTGAATTTTATATGTGAAAGAGATGTGATGTAATCAAATGTGACTGAATGTTTATTGCTTTGAGTACTATAATGTTATTGATAGAATAATTGTTGATGAATTTCATGTATACTTTATAATATGTTATTGTATGTGTGTGGCTACTTGACCATTTCCTACACAAGTAGCCGAAGTGAGATGTTTCTCACTCCCTTTTTTTGGTGTTTTGTTTTGTTGTATATGTGCAATTGAATTTAATTGTGATAATAAAGATGAGTAAGCCTTTTTCGTTGGGATTTCTTTGATAGGATATGATATCAGGGTTTTAGATAGGGACTATTTCTTGTCATTGATGCATTAGAACTTTAGTTTATTTTCTTAAGAAAATAGTTTTGCAATAATTTTTATTCATTGCAATTGTTTTACTTTCAATCTTGTTATTTGAAGTTGTGGGTGTGGTACCTTTAACCCATAATTTTCAATTATTAAATGAAGTATTTTTTTAGATTATTATTATATAATATTTAATTTGTGCATGAGGGGTAAAGGGTGTCACAGGTTAAAATGACTTTAATAACAAAACAATTTGGGGTAGTTCAACAAATTTTTCTATAAAAAAATTAAAATCATAAAGTCAAATCCAAACTCATGAGTTTAACAAGTTTGTTGCCAAGTTCACCAATTTCATCCGAGTTTACATGATTCTAAGCCTACATGCGAGTTGTCTCATTTTGGGTTTATAAGCTCATAAACTTGTATGAGCTTATGATTTAACACTTAAGTTTAACAACCATGGACATGAGTATGTGATGAATTATGAGTATGAAATTATGTTTTTAAAACATTGTTCTTGTATGATATTTGAGGTGTTTCTACATGATGTGTGTGATATGAAATATTTATGCATGATATAAAAACTTTATATGTGATAGAATATGATATGAGAATGACAGGATAATGATATGTATGCATGAATGAGATGAAGATGTGTACACATGAAATTGACATGAAGATGATGTGTTTAACGAACTATTTATTTATTTCAAATAAAGTTTTATTCAAACAAGGTTCTTTTGCTTCATTAATATTTATGAGTATGAGTATGTGGGGTAGAGAGTGTCATACTTTATATAATAAGATAACCCTTATATTAACTCTTATTTTGAGTCAATAATTTTTTCTTAATTATACCTTATGACAATCTTTTTCGGGGAAAAACTACTCTAAATGTTAACAACTTTATATAATAAGATTATTCCCTATTTGACAAAATTTTGAATGAGAAACATTACTCAAAATCTTAACAACTTTATACAATAAGATTTTAAATAAACAAATTATAGTTGTTTCTTTTAAAAAATAATCTTTTAAAAATCATCTTATATTGAGCAAATTAAAATTTCCTTAAATTTTTTCCTATTTTTTGGGAGCAAAAATTATTCTAAATGTTAACAACTTTATATAATAAGATAACTCTTATTTTGAGTCAACAATTTTTTTTTTAGTTATATATTCTCTATTTGATGAATATTTTGGAGAGAAAACCTACTCCAAATATTAATAAATTTACATAATAAGATAACCACTAATTTAACCCTTATTTTAAGTCAACAAAAATTTTCTTAATTATTCCCTACTTGACAAAAATTTTGGAAGAAAATTTACTCAAACGTTAACAACTTTATGCAATAAAATATAATAAGATAATCCTTAGTTTTAGCCAACAAAAATTTTCTTCATTATTCCTTATTTGACAAAAAAAAAATTGGGAAAAATTTTATCCAAATATTAACAACTTTATATAATAATATTATTCTCTATTTAAGGAAATTTTTTGTGAGAAAAAACTACTCAAAATATTAACAAATTTATATAATAAAATATCCCTTGTTTTAAGTTTTTTTTTTTTTAAAGATACGAAAAATTACAAAGATGGTCACAATGAAAATTGAACATAGGTCCTTATACTTTTAACTATCTCAATCCCTCCTCACCCAACCATTAGGCTAACCCTAATGGTTTCCCTTGTTTTAAGTTTTATTTTGAGTCAATGAAAATTTTCTTAAATATTCTGTATTTGACAGGGAAAAACTATTCCAAATGTTGACAACTTTTTATAATAAAATAAAATTTAATAGAATAAATAATTTTTTAGTTTTTAGTGTGTTTGTATTAACTACATATTTTTTAAATAAGCACTTCCTGTGTTTTTAAAGAAGCAAATTATATTTGTTTCTTTTAAAAAATAATTTTCTAAAAAGCATGTTATTTTAAGCAAATGAAAATTTGCTTAATTTTTTTCCTATTTGGATGAAAATTTTTGAAAAAAAAACTAATTTAGATGCTAACAACATTATATAATCAAATAACTTTTATTTTTGAATCAACAAAAATTTTCTTAACTAACTCCTATATATTAAATACAATTTTCTATCTTGTGTGAAACCACTTTTAGAGGTTTTTCTTCAACAGGAGGATTTTTAGAGATTTTTTTAATTTCATATCTAATTTAATTTTTATTCGTCATAATTATTTATAAATTAAATTTTAATATTTTTTAAATAAATTGTTAATAAATAAAATAAAAAAATGTTATAATATAAAAGATTATCAACTTCTATATATTAAATATAAACTTTTATCTTGGACGTATTTTTCTTTGATGAGAGAGTTTTTTTAACTTCTTATCTAATTTAATTTTTATTTATCATGATCATTTATGAACTAAATTTTAATATTTTAAATTAAATTATCAATAAAATTATAATATAATATAAATTATTTATCATAAATATAAAATATAATTTATATGTTTAAAAATATCTATTTATTCTAATTTTAAATATATATTAAAACATAATATTTATTTATATATTATGTTATTATATATTATAATTATATATAATAAATATTTAATTTGTGCATCATGCTAAACTACTAGTTATTCCCTATTTAACAAAAAATTTTGGAGAGAAAAATTACTCCAAATATTAATAACTTTATATAATAAGTTGATCCTTATTTTGGGCCAACAAATATTTTTTTTATTATTTTCTATTTGACAAAAATTTTTAGGAAAAAAGTATCCCAATACTTTACAGACTTTATAATAAAATACTAGTTTATCATAAACTTATAATGATAAAATATTTATCTATTATAAATTTTAATAATGACATAATTTATATATTCAAAATTTACTTTAATAAAATTTAATTACATAAAATAAAAATATAAGCTTAAATATATTTTTAATTTTTATAAAATAAATGAGTTTTATTTTAATTTCTATAAGTTTTTTCTTTATTTTTCATCCTTTTAAATTTTGTAAATATTTTGTTTAGTCCTTTTAAAATTATTTTGGTCCTTATAAATGAGTAAATTTTAATTTTAGTCAATGTAATATATATATATATATATATATAT